GTGGATGATTTTTTTGTTGCAAAGCTGGTTTGCTCTTAACCCCCCTTAGGTCCTAACTTAAGTAATGTTGTGAAATCAACGTAAAAAGTAGAAGAGACAGGCGCCTACGTTGTAATTAGACCACACAAGTTCTTGATTATCTGTCACCACTTATATACAAAGTGCTCAACACCCTCCTGCAGACTTCACTTTATTCATTCATTAACATTACTAATTACACTTCCTACTTCCCTTGCAGACCTACTGCACCAACACACAGGTCGCCGACTCCGCCTGCACGGCTACCGCTTATCTCGGCGGCGTAAAAACGAATTACGGCACAATTGGCGTATCGGCTGCTGTCGAACCGAACGATTGCTTGGCACAAAACAACACCCTTCATCATGTCACTTCGATTGCCGCATGGGCGCAAAAGCAGGGCATGGCAACGGGTCTAGTCACCACCACTTCGGTGACGCACGCCTCTCCCGCAGGCGTCTACGCGCACATTGCCAACCGCAATTGGGAAAATGACGCGGAGGTGCTCTCCGATAACGGCGATCCGCATATCTGCACTGACATCGCGACACAGCTGGTGCACGGCGAGGTCGGACGCAATTTGAATGTTATCTTGGGCGGTGGACGCAAACATTTTCTGCCGAATACAGTGCGCGAGTTGGAGGGTGAGCTCGGCCAACGTCTGGACGGACACAATTTGATTAACGAATGGCTGACTATGCATGGCAACGACGCACACTACGCGCAAACACGCGATGAGCTGTTGAATGTAAGTACCGCGGCACGCTTGGAACGCAATAACAAGACTAATAAATGATGTTTTACGCTTTTGCAGTTACCCGTTTCGACCAAACGCGTCATGGGTCTCTTTGGTGCCAATCACATGCCTTTCCATCTGGATGCGGATGCCCAGCTAACGCCCACACTCGCCGAGATGACCGCAGTTGCATTGGATATACTGGAGCGTCAGAGCAATGGCCGTGGGTTTTTCCTCTTCGTCGAAGGCGGACGTATTGATCACGCACATCACGACACACTCGCCATGAAAGCTTTAGATGAGACGGCCGAATTTGACAAGGCCATCGCATTGGCGCGCGCACGCACCGACGTACGCGATACACTCACCGTGGTCACCTCGGATCATTCGCACACAATGTCAGTGGCGGGCTACTCATCGCGTAAGAACGATATTATCGGCGTAAATAACGGTCAACTGGGCGATGATCAACTACCCTATGCGACGCTCAGCTATGCAAACGGTCCCGGCTTCGATTACAACGTCTTCAAAGCGAATGGCGCCATTAAACGAAAGAACTTGAACAAGATCAACATGAAACACAAGGATTATCCATTCCCAAGCATGGTGCCGCTCGAATCGGAGACGCATGGTGGCGATGATGTCGGCGTATTCGCAATCGGTCCATATGCGCATCTCTTCACCGGCAACTATGAGCAAAACTACTTGCCACATGCGATTAGCTACGCGGCGTGTTTACAGAGCGGTAACGACGTGAAAAGAACAGCATGTACGGATGGACTGTTAAACGGGCGGGCTTGATTGACGACAACGTGCGGTAGAATTAGTTTACCATGAGAGAATTTGCTTTGGGAGCACCTGATAACTTACGAGTTACTACAATATTCATTTATTAGTTAATTTATTGCTGTTTTAGGTAATGAACATGTGTAAATGTGTAGGCGCGTGTGATTCATAGTCAATACAGAATGTCATGTACTTATTTATAATCTAGTATAAGTAATTTAGAAAGAAAAGTGCTAATTAAATTATTTATGTGAGTGCACAACAACAAAGAGTGCACTCTCAAATTTCAACAATGAAAAACTAAAGGACTTTTGGATTGTATCAAGAGCAGTTATTTGTTAGCGTGAGAAGTAGGGCATATGCTCTTAGTAACTAAAAAAGTAATTTTTGAAAATATCTCGGCGAATAAGACAGTAAAATTGGCTGCCGAATTCATAACTTATCACATTTGTGGCTCACACAACATAAAAATGCAGCGACTGTGCCTAAGGCTATGCACATAGTGAAGCGAGAAGCGAAACGCGACGGATCCAAAGTAGTTAGTTAAATACTTTTCTTTGAACTTACGACTGCTTAATATCGTCTAAACAATACGATCTTAAACTATACTTTACTCAGTAGTCCGACCACGAAGGTCATCGACCTATGATCAGCCTTAAGCATAACAAAAAAGTCTGCTATCGGAAATATTTAATCAAAAAATCATGCAATGAGCAATTCACAAAAAGTAGCGCTCATAGGTATTTATAGGCCTTTAACCCTTATACGAAATGGCTGAGTAATATAAGCCTTCCGACTTAAACAGGAAATACCGTTAAGTTACATGTCGACCAAAGAGGATGTCAATGGTCTAATTTTCAAGCATGTAACAAAAACTTTTTTCAATAGCTCTTTTTTGACACATACAACATAATCGGCCTACTGAGCGGACTGTTCAACACCTTCACCCATCTTGAGACCCAGTAATGCAACCGAATAGACCACGTCCAGCACGCAGTGAAGAAAATATAAAAGCCGTAGCTGAGAATATATGCGAAAGCCGTGCGGCGCCGTTTGCAGCAACTCGGACTGACGTATGGAACGACTGGGAGCATTTTACGTCGAGATCTTTAATTAAAAGCGTACAAAATACAGCTTGTACAAGAACTGAAGCCGCTCGGTCTTTCCAAGCGACATCGCGTCGCTTTATGGGCTCTTGAAAAGTTCAAAGAAGATGCGACATTTTCGAGTCAAATTTTGTTCAGCGATGAGGCTCATTTCTGGCTCAATGTGTCCATATGGAATCATCGGTCCATATTTTTTCAAAAATGATGCCGGTTAGAACATAACCGTCAATGGATACAGTTTTCGCGCCATAATAACCGACTATTTGATGCCTGAAATTGAAGCTCGTATTCTCGGCGACATTTGATTTCAGCAAGATGGAGCTACTTCCCACACAACGCGTCAATCAATGGATTCATTGAGAATGCATTTCGGTGAACAAATAATTTCACGTTTTGCGCCGGACGAATGGCCCCCAAGCATTGAAAATCGGACTCAAGGATGGATCATGTAAGGCGTAGCCACCGCCAACATTTGAAGGAGATAATCTTCAAAACATAAATGCCAAAGTGTTAAATTCGAAGTTTCTGTGCTTTTATTTTAAAAAATAAAGGGAAACTCGAATGGATCACCCTTTTTCACCGCCAGGTCCGCAACATCGATTGTGTCATTGTGTCATTTAAGAAGTTTACTTTTAGGAGCGAAATAGGTAAACATTTTAGGTAGTACATACCCAAACAGAAATCAATAAAACGGTGAGCTCAAACCAAGCGACACCTACTCATACATACTCAAAACACATAAATATATAAATGTATAATTTGTATATGGCTAAGTCATTGAATTCACGAAGTATATATTTACTCTCCAACAGGCAGTGTCGTTTACGATACTACATTCTCCGATTGGAGCGGACGAGAATTCATAGCCTCAGACAACCGGTTTATGTTAGGAAAACAAATCAGCTGACTGATGATAGACAAAAAGAGAAACACTTCACAAGACAACTTTATTTGTGCGCTCTCAGGTACACACTCTCGAGCGGGCATACATATATAAGAATACAGTGTGCGATAAAACAGTAGTACCATGAAATACGCAAATACCATATATGTATTTAAAAACATGAGGAGGGAATAAGAGATCCAGAAGACTTGGTTCACGGCGAAAGTTTAGCTTGAATCAAAGACCGATATTAGGTGCAACATTTTGAGCGTCATCTTTTGTAAGTAAGTTGTAAGCAAGCGTCTTAGCAAACCCAAAAAACTCAATAATTTATATTAAGACCTCATAATCTCGAAAAGTACGAATTTTGAACAATCGCGGTTCCTTTCACTTCAGCAAACCCAAGAATATCGCTGCCGAACTTTTTTTCTTATAGCATTCACTAAATATTTGTAAAAAATATTACATAGCATTTCTGGAAGGCATATTCAGTGTTAAGGAAAGTTTTCTTTGATTCTTGTAGGTATGGCGTCGAATTGGCAGTTCTTAATCGTATAAAAATGCAGGACCGTTCCGGTTACTTAGAACCGACTGTCGTCGGAAAGTTTTGTCTTTACCTTTATCGAAATTAGTATCTACTGTTTAGATTAGTACTGTTAAGATTAGTCTCGTTTTCACTATGATGGTAATGGCCTCTACCGAGAAATCCAATAAATGGCAACAACTAAAAACAGGTTTGCAAATCGGCGTGTGCGAAGACTAGATGAAACCAAAAGTAGAAACAGCAAAAGCAATTTGTAGACGAACCTGAACCAAAAAAAACTCCACACGACATCTGATGAATATTTAAATTGTTGAAGTCCAATGAAACGCAGACGTCGCATAAATTTGTGTAACACAATGTGACGCACAGCAAAAAATACAAAAGTCGTTTAATGAGAGCGACCCTACAAATAAGATTAACCTGCTTCTTGCTAATAGGCCGCACACAACAACACACACACTCACAGCAGCGACATTTCAACAAACGCACCTCCAAACGCTGAAATCAATCGCTTGTTTGGCATTCATGGGTTGTCTTAAGCCGGCAGGCTTGCTACCTGTTGCTACCGCCAGCCAAGAATCAAAATACCCGTTGTTTACTATACACTCTCTCGCTCTCTGGCACGCGCACTCTCCAACATGGACATGCTTCTTCGACAACGTCCCACGGCGTTCATTCAACTCTGTTTGCTGCCGCCAGCGGTTATGTCTTTGCCGTTTGTTTGTGCCGCGCACGACAGACTCTTTTTTTTTCATTATATTTGTATTTGCTATTTATTGAGCATCGCTATTTTGTTATGATTTCGAATTTCCATTTGCCCACTTTGTTTGCTTTCGCCGTTATTGTACGACTTGTGGCGTTTGTGGTGGCTACGGTTCCCGTTTTGGTCACGACCCTTTACACGACGTCGCTTTTCGTTTGTCATAACCGAATAGTTGGCTTGCGCTAAATCTCAGCTTCAACTGACGCAGAGCGCTTTGACCGTAGTCATTGCCGCGCCGTCATCGCGATCGGGACAACTTGTGTACGCGCTGCGGGGTTTTGTGCTCAAAATCGTAGCGAACAACTTTCCCAGAGGTTGGCTGCTTGTGACGCTTTCTCGCCACTCACCAACCATTTTTGTAGTGTTTTGGTTGTTAGGTGCGACGTCATCGAAGGGTGTGCGACGTCGATAAGCCACCACTCTAAGTGTACGCTTTGGTATGTCGCGGTGAAAGTTAATAGTAAACAATTATTTTTGTTGCTGTTCATAATTAAAAACGAAATAAATGACGTTTACGGGAGACTTTACTCGCGCCTGCGCAGCTGCCACGACGCCAATCGCAATGACAGCGATAAAAGCGAACCAGCAACGCATTAAATGTGGCGAAGTCTTCATTTGGGACTGTGTCGGTGAACTCTTTGCCATCGAATGTTTGCTCTGCGAGGAGCATCCACTCTGCACACTGTCCGAATTCGCTGAACACATGGATATTTGGCATTACGACTGGACGGCTGAGGCGCACGCCTCATTACCCGATACAACAACAACAGCGGATGGCTGTGAGTTGTTACCCAAGCAATGGACGGAGATCGAAAGCTCAGCTGCCGCCGAAGAGCGCCACACAGACATGCTGAGCGATGGCAACAGCTTTGAAGACAACTACAGCGACTCGGAAACCATATCAATGGCGTCCGATTCGTTAGAAACTAGGTCATGGCATGCAACCTCGGTGAGTTTACGCGATAGCGGCCCAATAAGGGCTTGCAGTTGAAAGTAATTTTCGGTTTTCATTTTATCCAACAACAAGCTACTCGAAAGTGACTACAGCGTAGCAATAATGCAGAATGTCACCGCTGTAAGCTCAACTGAAACCTTTGAAGAGCTACTTTACGGCGCAGAGGTTGGAGTGTGGGACAATGTGAATGATCTGCGCAGCGGAGAGGCGTATGTAGAACGAGCGCAGAGTAATGAAGCAGAAGAACTGGCAGCGGACAGCGCGCAAGCAAACACAATGGGTACTATTGTGAAGAAACGGGTTGAGGCAAGTCAATGCTAATTATACCAGTTTTTGTGCGAAAACGAACTTTGGTAGTTTATGTTTTTTTTTTTTCTCAGAATAACTAAAAGTAAGATAATTATGAACTTCATTATGTAATATGAAATTCCAGACATTTGAGAACCCGTTAGTTTCTAACGGTTAACGGTAATGGGACCTACGAGTTCTTTGGTAGGTCCTTTGAGGCAGAACCCCGATTAGGTCAAAAATTTGCCAAAACCCGAGTGCTTCGAATATGCTCTTAGAGCTCAAAGCTGAAGTTAGTTGAAAAGGAAGATTGGCAAGTTGTGTTCAAAACAAAATATAAAGGGTTAATGTGCGGCAAAAGCCAAGTCAAAACTCTGTATATTGCAGATGTCCAAGAACTTTTAGAACAGCTTTCTATAGGGAAATTATTTAACTGAAAACCTCATTCATAACAAAGGTCAAAGCTAGGTAGTACAAGGTACACACGTCCAAGAGATATAAAAGTTTAGAATAATTTATACTGACGATCGTTTGCTGGACTAGAGCTTCAGCCGGTTCGGTATGCCTTTACGCTTTGTAGAAGCTTATATTAACAAAGCTCCTAACCTAAGAATCTTTTGCAGAATCCACTACTGAATCGCTTCAGAACCGAGAAATTAATAGAGATTTATGAAAAATTTCCCGAACTCTGGCATAAAGACGAACGCAGTAGCCAAAAGCCTGAGACACAAGCGAAGGCATATCACAGTATCAGCCAGAAACTAAAGAAAGTTGGTATACACCTTAAAACGGCGGCTGTACAACGGCGACTTAATGCGCTACGCAAGCGTTATCGCCTCGAGAAACTGGAGGAACTTAAAGCTCATTTGAAGGGTCAAATATATGAAAGCAGCTTCGAGTACTATGCGCACTTACAATTCTTAAGGGAGCACATCGAGCCGGAGTTGTGCAAGATTTGCATGCGGATTTGTAAAGATGCAAAGGAATGTTGTGAAGGCGCAGAGGAAACGAGGACAGAGAAGTTGCCAATAAACAATGAAGCTTCAGAAAGCGGCGTTGTGGTTGCTGAAGGAAGGGAGGGAAGTGAGGCACGCTGCGTTGTCAAAGAGGCACTACAAGCAGACGAGGAAAGCATTAAAGAAAGCAACGCAGAAAGCAACGAAGGAAGTAACGAAAAAAGCAACGAAAAAAGTATAGAAGAAAACATCGAAAGTAGCAACGAAGGAAGCACCGAAAGAACCAACGAAGCAAGTTCTGAAGAAATCAGAGAAGAAAATTCTGAAGAAAGAAACGAGGTACAACATTCTGTTAACGAAATTACGCTTCAGCTAAGCAAATCTGCAGCAGAACAATTCGAGGTTATGGTCGAAGAAATATTGAAAAGTGAGCACGCAATGCAGGAGGCGAATTTAGAAACAAGTGAGTTGGAGATCGAAAGTAATGAATTCGAACCAGTTGATACAACACTAAACGAAGTTGTGATGGCCATAGAACAGACGAATGGAAACCCAGAAGGGCCTATGTTGCAGGAGAACTTCGAAGTAAATGAAAACCCGAATGCAAGCGTAAAGGACTCAATGGAACTGGTAGCAGTTGTAGATACCACGAAGAAGCTACACGAAGCTATCACGTTCTTAGAACAGTCAGAGGGCAGCCTCGAAGGGTCAATATTGCAAGATATCCTCAAAGTAGACAGAAACCAGAATGAAAGCGTAAAGGAGTCAAGGCTACCGCGACGCTCGTTGCGGAATAGAAGTAAGGTACAAATTTTGGAGGTGTTAGAACTACCAAGAATGGTAAATATCGCGCGTGTGATAACTATAAGCAGACATTTATGAAATATTTTTCTGTATTACAGCAACCTTTCAAGGCACAAGAGCTCGCAATTAGCACATCAACGCCGCATGGCCAACAAGCCGTAGGGATAAACGAGTGCATGAGCACCGCTGACGAGAACATGGCATCGGAGGAATATGATTCTTCGAATGGTGATTCGGGTATACTGCGCGATGTAAGTAATCTTGAGATAATTGATAAGTGCTGATTCAACACACTCTACCGCTTTAGTACGATGAACAACCCGATGCCGAGACAAACCACGCCAACGAGACAGGGTCTTTTGCGCGCCTCACGGCTGAGCAAACGCACAAATTGATAGAACTCTACGGTCAACATCCGCTGCTTTGGGACCCCGACCATGCAGACTTTAGAGCGCGCGCGCAGCGGCGTAATGTTTGGCGTCAAATAACAGCACAATTGAATGGGCACTTCCAAAAGCGCTACACTTGGACGAAGGTGCACCGCAAAATGCACGACTACATCAAGTATTATCGGCGCGAGCGGCAGCGCATCGAGCTGGAGGGCGGCTGTACGCGTTGGTGCTTCTATGATGATTTTGCTTTTCTCAACGAAGTGGTGAGTTTGTCGCATACGATATCTGAAGTTATGAACACTTTACATTTAATGACTTTACAGCTCGCTGAGCAGAGCAGCGAAGCGTCAAAGCTGCTGCTGAACAAGCAACACAACATGAAAATCATAGAGGTGTATGCCGCGCATCCGCAACTGTGGGACACCAATCATGCACTCTATAAGCGGCGACGCCTACGTCAGAGCATTTTCAAGGCGATAAGCGATCAACTGCGCGACGCGCACAACATAAATATATCGGCGCTTAAGCTGAAACAGCGCATTGTGGAGTTTCGCTGCACCTATCGCATGGAGAAGGAGCGCCGCTGTGCCACCGAGCAGCGAGGCGAAACTTATGAGCCCTGTTACGAGTACTATCAGTTACTAAGCTTTCTGGACGCGCATATAGCGCCGTTCCAATGCGCGGAGTGCAGCGCACAATTCAAGAAACACACCGAAATCGAGCGTCACATGCGACAAGCGCATAGCAAAAATAAAAAGAAAACTATTGTCAAGCAGCGCGCCGAGCTCCTCGCCCACGATGCGAAACTCGTCACTCTGGAAAATGTCTGCCACATTTGCGGCATAGGCTTCACGCTGAGTCGCAACCTCATGTGTCACCTGAAGCGTCACACAAATCAGCGCGAATACCAGTGCGTCCACTGCCCGAAGAAGTTCTTTGACGGCGCCACCTTGCGCGTTCACGAACGCTCACACACCAAAAGTCGTCCTTACGTCTGCGAACAGTGCGGCGCCAGCTACGCGACAGGCAGTAAGCTGAATCAGCACTTGAAGCGTCATAGCGGTCAACGTGACTTTACGTGTGAACTGTGCGACAAAGCGTTCTTCACGGCTTTCGAATGCGAGCGTCATATGCGCACACACATGAACATACGCGAGAAGGTGTGCCCCATCTGCGGCAGAGACTTCGGCGTCGGCTCGGGCTACTATGCGCACATGCTATTGCATACGGGCGTCAAACGATACAAGTGCACAATGTGTGGCAAGCAATTCGCACAGTTCGCAGGCCTCTATAAACATCGGAAACGCTATCACCCGAAGGAGTTTGCGTTGGAGCGCGCGAAAAAGAACGGACGAGTCGCAAAAGAGGTGGCGGCGAAATAACTACACATATTCGGTTCATGAGGGAGAACTTTAAAGCATTTACAACAACAATTAATACAACAACAAAACGACGTGAGCAGTATGCTGTTCTCAAGACAGTGGGGTCAACGTAACCTGAATGGGCTCGAATTTTTATCCGGCCATGAACTGTCAACTCGGGGCTACATTCTTTCTAACAACTTGTTTTCTGCCGACACAACACCAACACCGACGACGAAAGGACAGCCCGTTCCCAGTCGGGTCTACGTAACCGGAAAGGACTCCGTTTTTTTCCGGCCAAGGCTTGTCAACTCGCCAGAATTCTGGCGCTACAACAAAAACAACAACAACAATGAAAGGTCAGCATATTAGCCCGTGTCTAAAGTGTCGTAAACTTTTTGAAGGAACAAGACTAAGCGCTTCCCTCCGCCTACCTTCTTCGCACACAAAATTGTCTGCGCTTTTCACGCGCGCTTTAGTTAAGTGCCTTTACAGTTATAACGCTATATATAGAACATTATTTTTCAACGATTATTTGCCCCAGTTAGAATTTAGGCAATCAAGTGTTAAAAAGTGAGTTTGCCAAAATCTCTAAACTACTTTACACTACTTTATAATCAAATAACATTATAGAGAAGTCTAAACAAACACTCACCAGTTAATACACCAGCTACTTTTAGAATAATGCTAGCGGCTTACTTAGTGCAATTTCTTAATTTGGCTATGCCATGTTAGGCGACAGGCGTTTGCTTTGTAGAAACTATGAAAAAATTGTGTTTCAGTAAAATATGACAAGCAAATAACGTCTCATAGCTCACCACATGGCAGAGCTTAGCTGCTGGTGCTTGGTTAGTGCCAAGTGGCCGCTTTGGCTGCGGTTTTACATGCGCTCAATTACCGCCTGCATAACAACGAACAACGAAAACTATTTGGCAAGGTGTTTTATACTGCCACAACAACAATAATAGCTACTTGTTGCCAATACAGCAATAACAGCAATTGTAATGGTGGAAATTAGGGCTACAGCGACAACAGCAAGCGACATGCAATTACAGCTTATGCGTCTAATTAAACTTGTATTTATTTTGTTTTTGCATTGTGTGGATTGTATATTTGAAAATGTTTCACGCCAACAGCAGTCTTACCTACAGTAGTACATGAGAAAAAAAGCTTACATTAGAAAATTAGACTTAGATTTAGTTAGCACTTAGCGTATACTCACTAAATACCGTCCAGTGTGGTTACAATGTGCAATGCCCTTATATTGCCGGCAGCAATTCATTATGTGTTAATAAAACTTAAAACTGTTTAAAAAAAAATTTTGCTTTTGCTTTGCGTTAAATATACTGCATCCGAATGCAGTGACACGCTCTTAATGTACATATGTATAGGGTATATTAAGGTTTATATAAAAAAAATAAAAAATGATGTCACACAGCTTATTTGGAGAAGCGTTTTTGCTGCCGCAAACGGTATATGTCATTGGCTGGTGGCGCTGGCGTTTGGCCCTCCTCGTCGCTGTCGTCGCCGCCGGGCAGCATGCGTCGACGCTTCAGACTGCCCGCATCGCCGGTGCACACACTGTCATCCACAATCCAGTGCACCGATTTGGCCAGGTCGAAGAGTTTCGTGTCGCAGCCATGATCGCCGACGGGCAGTGGCACAGCTGTGGTCGCGAAAAATATTGGATAATTAAAACAGATTTCACAACAACAAATAACAGTAAATACGCACCGTCGGGCAGCTTGATGCGATTGAATATGTCGAAGAGCATTTCAATGGAGACAAATGGACCGCGGAAGGACACGGGCGGCGGCAGCTGTGCGCACAGCGAGGCCAAGGCCGGCGGCTGCGGGAAAGTGCCGCCGGCTAGCGGGTGTTCGCCGGGATGTGCATTCACTTTAGGCTTGTACGGCACCATTTGCGAGAAGTCGGGGCGCGGCAGCGAAACAACCTGCTCCACATCAGGTTCATCTAGCTTAGCGGTTGCAGCATTGGCGGCGCTTTTATTCGTCATAATGCCGACATTCTGTAAGTTGGCGAATCATGCAAAAGAAATATTATAAATTGGTTTAAAAAATATATAAAAATTTTGCATATATGTGCTAATGAGTTGTTTTGTACGTGGGTATGTCACTGCGCTGGTGGTGTGCGTAATGGAAAGGGCAAGCTGTGTCAGCCAATTTTCAAAACTTACGTAACTCTTCTAGCATTTGCGGCGCGTGCAGCATTGAAATTGCAATTACAAATGCATGCGTACATATAAGTGAAACGAAATACACGAAAAGCACACAACAACTCACCTCTGTGTAGCCGATGGAGCGCAGCTCAACACTTGTGCAGGGATAAAGATCCAAAAATTTATAGCGATCCACCAGCTGCGCAGTCTCTTTGCCTTCGTACTCCTTCAACTGCAAGTAAATAGAGCATAGTTTAAGGCGTTAAAGCTACCAATGTGAAAATAAGCACCCACATTCTCTAGCACCGCGCTGCGGCGACGCTCGACTTTAACAATACTCGACAAGTCGCCAATATTCGACTCGAATTCCAAAAACCGATTCCATACATCCACACTAAGCGCCGGCGTTAGGCCACCCGATGACAGCACGCGCTCGAACAGCACACGCGTATTGTTATCTTCGTTCAAATGCGAGAGATAATCTATGTAACACATGACATACTCCGGACTGCCGCCGAAGCGTTTCAAACCGAGTTCGAAGATGCGAAAAGCAATATCCTTATCCTTCGAACAGTAGTACTCCATTAATGCCGCGGCCACGAACACGTGGTAGCGTGAGCGCACATCTTCTCGCCCCTTCTTGAAGACAGCTCGCGCGGATTTGATGCCCTCAGCGCGGCGCGCAAACTTCATATATTGCACGTAAGCCTAAAGGTGGGGGAAGAAAAGTATATTTTCTTATTAAACGATTCAGAAGAAGCTTGCGCATGCGCGCACAACCTACCAGTGTTGGATCAATGTCCGGTATAGATAGCAATTTGTTGTACATCGCATGTACTTTATCGTACTTCATGCGTCCCTCCTCGAAGTCGGCGTAGGCAAAGTAGAGCAGCGCATTTTTATTCAACACGCCGTTAATTGAGCGTTCTAATATGTTGGCGCATTCGTCGCCAAAGATTTTGGCAGCTTGAGTGTCCTGTATAAAGTGATAAAAGTATTAAATACATATATATATATTATATTTGTGTTATGTGAGTTTATATGTATACAAGCTAATGAACACAGTGAGTGGGCGATGTCAATGGAAGCATCGATGCAGTTGCATGTTCGGCTTACTTCAAGTGTTTTTCAATAAGAAAAACTGGTAATTTACAATTATTTATAATCATTTGGCAACAAATTCATAAAAATTCACACTTTTTGCTTGAAACCACAGTCATGTAAATGTATCAATACAACCATGCATCATTTTACAATAGTTCAAAATAAAAGAAATTGATTATAGCATTTGTAACAATATTGTGTTGCGCAGTGCGCGCATAACACAGCGTTTTATTGGCAACATTTCCAGCAAGATTTGGGTTTTGCACATGTAAGCATTCCAGTAAGTTGTTTGGCACAGCGCGCACCTTGACTATGTAGCACCACAATATTACCAGGAAACACAACATATTGCTGATAATCAATCGTAACCGCAATAACGGTGTATTGCCTTTTCGCCAGCTGTTAAATTTAAAAAATATAATTAAACGTTTATACAACACAATACGCACGCCTTTTTCCGCCAACGCTTGTGCACTTTGATCTAGATATTGCGCAGCCTGATGCCACACGGCTGGATGATGTGTGAGCACCAGCAGGCATTGTTCGGTGGCAAACATAACACGCCGTGTTATGAGTGCGGTGTCCTCCGTGCGCAACGGATTTGATTTCTCAAATGCAATGAATTTCTTCCATAAGTCCACCTGGATTAAGAATGATTATATTAAAAATAAATATTATATTATATTATTATAGTGCACAAACCTGTTTCATTTCCTCCTTGGAAAGCGTCGGTGGGACGGCGGGCAAATTACGATTCAAACCTTTAGTAAGTATCTCAAGCTCCTTAGCAACGCGTCGCGCATTCATATAGTCTCTGAAAAATATATAATTTTTTAATATTGTTTAATCATTCCAAATAAATTTGCATTATTACTTCGAACGTTCCAAACTCATTTTCTCTGATATTATAGGATTTATGTTATGTTCAAAGGCTATGTAGTCTTTCCATAATTGTTCGATGCCTACAATGGGCGTAACCACCGCCTTCTGATACACTCTACGCACAGCGGTGATTTTCTGATTTTCCGCATAACTACCCACAGCTTCCACGCTACGCAAAAAATGTATATAGTCCTGCCAAATTGAAAACGAATGCAAATCCATGCCAATTTTCTCCAAAGCAAAGTCATAAGCCTGTGCCAGCTTCTCTCTACAACAGGCAATAAATTATATCAATATATAATTTTTGACTAAAATAACATGAAGGCAACTTACTTGTGTGTACTCAAGCCAGCTTTGGTCTCTTTTACATATGTCAAATATAATTTCCACAAATCTATATTTAAAATTTTTACTAATGAACGCTGGAACAATTTTTCCACACGTTCAAAATTTCTGCCTTTCATCTCTTGCTCTATATATATCTTCCAGTAGCGCGCTGTTGTGGGGAACACATTCACTAAAGATTCGTACAAGCTGCGCACATCGTTTACCGGTCGCGTTTGTGCCTCACGCAGCAATACCGACCATGATTCAATATCGTAGGGACGCATCTCGACAACCTGTTGCGAACGCACCAATCGTTCGTGCCCCCATTCCTAGAATTTAATAGTGTTTGGAAAATTAATAATTTCAATAATAATGTAACATATTTTATTTTTTACTCACTATATCTATTTTAATTTGATCGCGTACGGACATTTTTGCAGCTTCAGTTTCACTATATACCCACGTGGTAACCGTTCTTTATTCACTTAAACACACTTATACCCACTCCCCGAACACTTATTGTAACTAATTTGCAGCCTTTTTGTTTCAATTCACTATTATTTATTAAATTATTATTTTACCTGCAAGCGCGAAAATCTGCTGAAAAATGCCACAGTTTTTGTGAAAAAGCTAAACGTCACTAGCGTCAAGTAAACTCACCTCGGATAATTAATGCTGCCATATATGAGTACACTTATAAACAAAAAAACGCACGTAAGTGATCGCATTTTTTTCATTGCACATAGGTGTATTTAAAGAAAACCATTTCATAATTTATTCATATACATATATAGTAATTTACACAAAAGCTATTTTTAGTTTCTTAAATATTCAAATGATCAAATGCTCGCACAGGGTAGGTATTTTCACTTTTTAAATATCATGGACTGGCATCACTTCACGAAACAAAGAAAAGACAGTAATGGCAAAAATGACGGATGATTGAGATTTGAAGTGAAGGCAGAAAGTGAATGAGACGTCTCGTTTGAATTAAAGTTACAATTTGGAAAACAGCAGCAAAGTTTATAAAAATCCTGCGTCCACATAAAATAGACAATAAATCGAAGATCATTATATATATTTTA